CTTCCCGTTGGCCAAACACAACCAGGCCAGGGCTGGCTGAGTGGCTCAGTTGGTTAACAGCTTGCTCAAGTGCGTGAGCTCTGAGCAACAGGGTCATAAGTTCAATTCCCACATGGGCCAGTGAGCTGCGCCCGAGCTGAGCTGCTGCTGAGCTGCCAACAGCTGGCAGGATGGCTCAGCTGGTGAGAGCACATGTTCCTAACAACAAAGTTGCCTGTTTGATAGTGGACTATGCCCACCTGCAGCTAAAGTCTGAATTTGGCTCTGTGAGCTGAGCTGCCACCTGGGGTGGCTCAGGGGATAGAGTGCGTGCTGTTAACAACAAGGCTGCTGGTTTGACTCCCACAAGGGATGGTGGCTATGCCCACCCGCAACTAATTGAACACAGCACCTTGAGCTGAGTGGTGCAACTGGACTTGAAGCTGAGCTTGCTGTGCTCTCCACAACCAAGATTGAAGGACAACAACTTGGCTGTTCCCCTTCCCCAATTTCTCCACACTGTTCCCCTCTCCCAATTCCCCAATAAAATCTTTTAAAAAAAACCAGGCCAGAGGGCAATGGCGGCCTCCCAGGGCAGATAGCTGGATGGAAAGATGCAGAGCAGGTCTGGGGGTGGGGAACCAAAGAAATGTGGCACGTGATCCCTCAAGACCTTTGTGTCTTCCTCACCTGTCAAAGTCCACACAGCTCTCACCCATAAATGTCTCTCTCATTCACTCAATCAGATCATCTGTCACTGAAGCCGGAAGACCAGGTGCCGGTATCAACCTCTCGAGGTGACGAGGACCTGAAGGGAAAGCTGCAGCTGAATTTGGAACTGCAGTTGTTCAGAAATATAAGCCCCAAGTTCTCCCCAGCCCCGCTTCAGAGAGACTGACCTGAACTCTCCCAGATGTACCTAGCCACCACGTGGAACCTGGGAACAGGATAAAGACCATTTCTTCGGTGTGAATGTCATGTGATCGTGTCAAAGTTTGAAGTCTGTGATCCATGAATATCTAAGCCAAAGGACTCTACCAGATCAGCTGCAGCCCTAAGGGCCTGTGATAGAACTACAGACAGGACTGTCCGTAGTTTATGTGATGCCTTTGCACGAATTAGAAAAATACATCCCTTCCTCAAGATACTTCTCTTCCACATGTTGGAAAATTATAATATACTGATTTTGTTAGAACAAGGCACTTTTAATGCTACCTGTCAAAAAATTGTATCTTATAATGCACATGGCACATTTTAGATGTGGTTCCCTTGGGCAGTACCCAACCTGCACAACTGTGCACTGCAGCCCTGCCCTCAGAAAGCCAGTTCAAAACCTAAGATTAGTGAAACATGATTGTGTGCACATGACAAAGCCTAATACTCACCAGTTCAAGTGACTCCAACTATGGGAGGGCCTTTCTAATGACTTTCTCATGTATCCCACTCATGGGGACCATTCTTCTATAATCAGACCACTGGGTCTTGTACCAACATCCATCATAACACTTTTCACCTTGTACTGCAATTTTTCAGTAGGTGTTGGCTACTATGTACTGGGTGGTATGCTAACTGTTCCAGATATAAAAGTCAGATTCTGTCCTTGATCTACAGGGTAGGCAAACTAGGGGATAGGAAGGTGAGCAAATTAATTCACTGGAACACAGGAAATACTGCAACAGACATTCCACAAAACCATACAAAAACACAGGGAACAGGAACCAACACACCCCAAGAGGGGTCCAGACATTAAGGGAAGGCTCTAGGGAGAGGATGACAATTGAGCTATAGCTGATGCCTCAATAGTAGGCGTTTGCCAAAGAGAGAAGACAGGATAAGTTAACATTCAACAATGGCAACATGGGCAGAAGAACAGATATGGGAAATACTGTGGGCCAATCAAAGGACAGGAAGCACTTGTGTATGGACCAGAACACAGATAATCGCAGGGCACAGGAGCTAAGATGATGCTGGAAACATTATGGGGGGCCAAAACCTGAAGAATCTTGGATGCCATACATAAATATAATAAAATAAATATAATTAAATAAAGAATTTTAACATTGAGTTGCTATTGCTGCTTTTGTTGTTATTATTATTATTATCTTTCAGGTCTCGGCCCAGATGTTACTTCCTCCAGGAAGCCTTCCTTAATAACCCCTACTACATTAAGTACTGTTTTAGTCCATTCAGGAGGCTGTGACAAAATACTACAGACTGGGTGGCTTGTAAACAACAGAAATTTATTTTTCACAGTTCTGAAGGCTGAAGTCCAAGATTAGGGAAACACCATGGTTGGGTGAGGGCCTTCTTCCAGGTCACAGACTTCTCATTGTATCCTCACATGATGGGGAGCTCTCTTGGGTCTCTTTTATAAGGGCATTAATCTCATTCATGAGGTCTCTGCCTCATGACTTAATTACCCCCCCAAGCCCTACCTCCTAATACCATCACATTGGGCATTAAGATATCAATACATGAATTTTGGCAGGACACAAACTTGCAGACATAGCAGGTACCCCCCGTGGCTGGCACTTTTAAAGCACTATACTGTGGCTGCTTAATTATCTTCCACCTTTGGCTATAAGCTCAGAGAGGAGACTTTGGCTGTCACTCTCATTAGATGTGAGAAACAAAGGATTTTAAACAGAGGAGTGACATGATCTAACTTAGGTATTAACAGGATTACTCTGGCTACTCTGGCTGCTGTTGAGAATGGATGAACAGTGGCAGGAAGGGGGGCAGAGAGACCAGTCAGGAGGTTATCACAATCATCCCAGCAAGGGATGATGGTGCCTTGGATCAGGGCGGTAGAGGTGGGCAGTAGTGAGAAGTGGTGAGTTCTGCATCTATACTGAAGATAGTCAACAGGATCTGCTGATCATTTGGGGTGGGAAAGAGAGAAGTGGAGGCGTTGGCCTCAGTGACTGGAGGGATGGTGTTGCCATTTATGGAGATGGAGAAGACCATAGGAGGGGCAGGTTTTGTAAAGGAGGATCAGGGGCTCAGTTTCGGACATATTAGACTTGAGATGTTAACAACAGAAGAAGAAATTATCCCGTTCACAAGAGACAAAAGCTATAAAATACCTATGCATTAGTTTCATTAAAAAAGACAACTACAGAATTTTATTGAAAGGCTAGAAACTCTGACTGTTCCTCTAAGCTCACTGTGACTCCCAGGGCCTAGGGACTTAGTCTGAGGGGGAATTCCCAAGGTTTGGCCCCCCACATACTGTGTGCAACTAAAAGTGGAATCCAACTTCTCTATGCCTCAGGCACCTCCTAGTTTCAAGAGTTACAAATGTGTGTATGCCGGAAAACTGCTTCAAAAATACTTCATTATGAAAATCTGAAACATACAGAGAAAGCATAGTAAAATGACCCCCCAATCACATGGCTTAAACAATTATCAACACATGGTCACTCTTGTTTCAGCTACATCTCTACCCATTCCCATGTCCTCACATATTATTCTGAAGCAAATTCTTGACATATAATTTCATCCATAAATACTTCATTACGCAGCTCTAAAAGATACAAAATCATTTTAAAACGCTAAATTACACCTAAAATAATGAACGTTAACTCTCTAATTTTATGAAATGTAGAGTCAGTGTTCAAATTTCCAATTTGTTAACTGCAATTTAACAATTTACAATTTGCCATGTGTCTGATCCTCAAAATTTGCATTCCCTGACTTGCAGCCTGCAAAGAGAGGATGTGGTTAATCATTTGGGCAGTTCTTTTCCAAATGTATTCAGAGACTTATTACAGCTGAGATGTCCTCCTATTTCCAGAGGCCAGAACCTCAGCCCCAAAGTTAAGAATGCTCTGCTGGAATTAGAGCTGCTGAATCCCAAACACAGCGTTCAGAATCCAAGACTCCCAAGAACCTGGGGTGCTGAGCCAGAATCGCTTTCGCCAAACCGAGGAACAGCACAAGCCGTCCCCCCATAATCGGAGATGAACTGCTTGAGCCAATCTCTCTCCCCAGTCAGGGACGCATAGACCAAATCAATAACCCCCAAATCTAAGCCAACGCCCCTTGCCCCCGCCTGATTCTAGGGATGCATGTCCTAAAACTGACACCAACCCCGACCAGGCGATGCACAGACAAGCCCGAAACCTGCAGACCCATTACCTGAGTCAATCACCCCCAAACCCGGGGCTACCTCCTAAAATGAGTCCAAGCTCTCACTCCATCCCAGTGAGGCCAGGCCGGAGCCCCTCACCATCCCAACCCGCCGAGGAGGCCCTTTCATCGGTCATCAATCCCGTCTTCCAACTCCTGCTCTAGTCGACAGGACAGGGTCAAGGCTGCAAACCATCCCCAACCCCAGCAACGCCTCCAAAGGAGGCGCGGTCCAGGCCGGACTCACCTCAGCGCCGCCAGCAAAGTCGCCCAAAGCGCTCTTGGGACCAAGGCACACGCGCAAGAAAGCCTATGGACTACAATCCCCAGAATCCCCTGGCCAGCGCAAGGCTACCCGGCGGTCAGCTGTGCCGCTGTGGCTGCTCAGACTCTAACCACTTACCTGAAATAATAACGACCACGATAGCGATAAAATTAATAATAATTAAATCACTCTCCACCTGTGATAAAAAGGAGGGAGAATACTAATACCTTACCACCTGGAAATGAGCACTCGTTACCATTTTAGTGAGAATCCTTTTAGCTTCTTATGTATTATTATATTTGGGTTATTGCCTACCCCTCTACTAGGATTTAAGCTCCACGAAGACAGGAGTTTTTGTCTATTGTGCTCATTGTTTTATTTATTTTTGAGCACCTACTATGTGCTAGGTACCATTCTAAGCATTGGGGATATAGCAGTGAACAAAACAAATATCCCTACCATTTTGGAGTTTAATTTGTTGAATGTTTAGGGGTTTTTTGTTGCTGTTGTTATGAATGGTATAATTTCCCATTTTGTTTCCTAACTCATTATTGCTGATACAAGAAGTTATTGATAATCATTATATATATATATATATATATATATATATATATATATATCTCCTTTCTAACAGCTCCCAACTCTGATGAAAGTGACAATTTTTACTGAAGCCACTGCCATAGCCATTTCTTTAAGGACCACTCTGCTGTGCAATACTCTTGAAGAGTGAAGTCTGTGACTGAAGTGCTCAAGAACTTCCAGATCTTTCCTTCCTATGCAGACGAGCTGCTGCCTATGAAAATGCCAGGCTTTACTGCAGCCCTCCCTCCATAACATGTTCATCAAGGTTTTCTCCTGTGTGGGCTCCCAGATGAACACAGAGTTCTGAGTTCTAAGTGGAGACCTCAATTCACCCCTCCTTACAAGGTTTCTCACTTAAATGTGCTCTCTGATGATTTCGCAGACCTGAGCTGTAACTGAAACCCTTCCCACACTTCTCACACTTATAGGGCTTCTCCCCAGTGTGGACCCGCTGATGGACATGAAGACAGGAGCTTTGGCCGAAGCCCTTCCCACACACGTCACATCGATATGGTTTCTCTCCAGTGTGCGCTCTCTTATGACTGAGGAGACCTGAGCCGTATCTGAAGCCCTTTCCACATTCATAACACATGTAGGGTTTCTCCCCTGTGTGCAGTCTCCGGTGGGTGCGAAGATTGGAGCCGTAACTGAATCCCCTGCCACACTGATCACACGTATACGGCTTCTTTCCCGTGTGGACTCGCTGATGTTTGTGAAGACTTGAGGTGCATCGAAAGCCCTTTCCACACTCCTCGCACTTGTAAGGTTTCTCGCCTGTGTGGACCCTCTGGTGAATGAGAAGCCGTGAGCTATAACTGAAGCCTTTGCCACACTCGGCACACTTGTAGGGTTTCTCTCCCGTGTGGACCCTCCGATGGACGAGGAGGTCAGAGCTGTATATAAAGCCCTTCCCACACACGTCACATATGTAGGGCCTCTCTCCCGTGTGGACCCTCTGGTGACTATGAAGGTCTGAATTCCGCCGGAAGCCCTTCCCACACTCCACACATTTATAGGGTTTCTCTCCTGTGTGGACTCTCTGATGGACATGGAGGTCTGAGGTGCGGCTGAAGCCCTTCCCACACTCGCATTTGTAGGGTTTCTCTCCCGTGTGCAGCCTCTGATGCACGAGGAGCCCTGAGCTATAACTGAAACTCTTACCACACACCTCGCATTCATAGAGGCGCTGCCCCGGGTGAACTCGCCGGTGAGCCTGAAGGTACGAGTTGTGACTGAAACCTTTGTCACACCCATCACATTGGCAGGGTTTCTCTCCTGTGTGTGTCTTCTGATGACTGCTGGGATGGGGGCGACAAGTGAATCCCTGTCCACAGTCGATACAACGGTAGGGTTTTTCTCCCAGGTGGATGTGCTGATGCTTGTGTAGCGCAGACCTGGCGCAGAATCCTTTGCCACACTCGCTGCACGTGTAGGGCTTCTCCCCTGTGTGCAGCCTCTGATGGACCTGAAGCACCGAGCTGTAGCTGAAGCCTTTTCCACACTCGCTGCATTTGTACGGTTTCTCTCCAGTATGGACTCTCTGATGGACAAGCAGATTCGAGCTTCGACTGAAGGCCTTCCCACACTCCTCACATTTGTAGGGTTTCTTTCCCGTGTGTATTCCCTGGTGAATAAGAAGAACTGATTTGTACCTGAATCCCTTCCCACACACATCGCACCTGTAGGGCATCTCTCCCGCGTGGACCCCGGCACGTTTGTGAAGACGTGTGTTCTGCCTGAAGGCCCGATCGCTCTCATTACTTTTCAAGGATTTCTCGCCTGTGGGAACTCTTTGATGTCTCTCAAGACAGGCAGCCTGCCTCAAGCCCTTACCAAACTCATGATATTTATAGGGTTTCTCTTTTAAGGGCACTCTTGGATAAGTGGGATGGTTTGAATCATCCCTGAAACCATTTCTACATTCATCACTTTTCAAGCCATTATCTCTGGGGTTGGGGTGATGAAGTACGGACTCTTTAATGAAGTCTTTTCTACATCGATCGCAATGATATGGTTTCTCTCTTTCAGCTGATCTGTGGTCATTGTGACAACTTGACATCCAGCTGAAGCCATAGCCATCCCAGTCATATTTATGTATTATATCTTCCATGTCAAGTGTTTTACACCTTTCTAGAACATTCCATGGCTCATTCACAAAGGCTGTCATCCAAGGTTCTTGAATGGAGACCAGTCTTACAATTTTCCAGGCTGGAAACGCTTGAATTTCCAAATTAAAGGGCCCATCATCTTGAAGACTATCCACAAAATTTTCAGTTTGTGAACCCCGAGTAGATGTTCCTTCCCACTCCTGACAGAGAGAAGCATCTTCTGAGAACTGGCAATCTTTGTCTTGAAGATTTACTCTATGGTCTTGACTCTTAGTTAATTCATCAGCCATCTGTTCCCAGATTTTCAAGTAGGAGAGCTCTCTGCGTGAAAGGAACTTTAATTCCCTTTCTTGAATATTCTCCATCTCCTTTTCATTCTTGTCTCCTATGGGGTGAAAGACAATTCGGGGGTGAGAACAAGTACAACACAGGCTTAGAAAGATCAGGCTTTCAGACTTGGACCAATAATGGCCAAGAGAAAAATTAAGCTTTATGTATCATAAATATCAGGACATTTATTTTTATGTCTGAAAGGAAGAGCCTCCTATTAATAAACTTTGAAGCTAAATGTTAATATGATCCTATTAATAACAAACTAAGTCTCATCATATAATACCCAAGCAAAAAAGAAAGTCTGAACAGATTTTTACAGAGAAAATTCACTACTCCACTTAATGCTGTTGTTGCTAAGAATAATATCTAACACTATTTAATACCTCCTATATGCCAACGATGTACACACGTATTCACTTATTTAACCCTCAGAATCACACTGAGGTAGGAATCATTGTTATCTTCACTTTACAGATGAGGAAAGCAAGGCACAGAGAGGTAAGTAACCTTGTTAAGTGACTCTGCCAGGCTGGGAGGAAGTGGTGAGCTGGGATTCAAAGCAGAAGCCTGATTTTAGGGCACACTCAGCATTCTCACCACACTGCCTCCCAGAGCAACTCTAATTCTGGGTATGTGTGAGCTGAAGTTGGGAAGGGAACAAAGCACTGAATTCTCCAGAGTGGAGCAGGTATGTCTGTGTCTTCTGGGAGCATATTCCATAGGAATCCAGAAGATACTGATAAAGCATGCAGACAAAAAATCAACTTATCCCCATTACTGCTTGCAAGCCATCAAACTGTCTTATTTACCATGTAGTTTCAGATCATTTAAAAAATTTGTCCATGTGTTCTGATACTCTTTGTTGGCGATTTTTATCTTTTAAGGCTGAGGTAACACGAATCTGTTTATAATCAGGCACTTGTAGGATACTAGAGTTAAATGAGAAATACAACAGAGGACTCTCAATATTCTGGAACAGTCTCTCTCCACTGGCTTGTCCTACACTGCCTGGCTGTTTCTATCAAAGGGAGGAGAGTCCAGAGATTCCCTCCCTCCCTCTGGGTATGTCACTCTCCGAAGAGCATGAAGGAACCTTGAGAAGGTAGGGACGGAGTAACAGAAATGAGGCTGCAGAACCATCACCTACAGTGGTACCAGCAATAGCCACAGGCAAGATCAAGGGCGCGGCGGGGCCGGTGTGTAGCAAGCTCCCCCCCTCACTGCCTCGTCAGGACTCTAGCCTCCGTGGTTTGCACCTGGATGTGCATCTCTTAGACTTCCTCTCTCTGTCACCCAAGTCTCTTTGTCTTGTTCCAAACGGGATAGCTTATCAGGTCTGCAAGGTTGTTGCCCTGAAAATGCAAGGCTTACGCTCATTTTTGAGGTGCAAAAGGTAATCTGAAAATGTAGCCTAAATCCCATGACCTTCAGGCTTTTGAAGGACAGACAAGATTTGGGACTGGCTAAATGAAACTACTTTATAACAGTTTTATAAAAAAAAAATTTAACCTGTATACAAAGACCAAAAATATCTTCTCTCCAGGGAACAAGAACACTCCTACAAGTTAAGTTTCGATTAACCAGAGGTTCCCCTCACCCACTGAGACTAGGTTTCTGAAGTTCTCCAGCATCACGTCTCGGTACAGCTTCCTCTGGGCGGAGTCCAGCAGCCCCAGCTCCTCCTCCGTGAAGATCACGGCCACGTCCTTGAAGGTCAATGGCTCCTAAAATTTGAAGCACCATTAACACAAACACCCACTAGGTGAAAGTAAGTTTGCTGTAACTTACTTGGCATCACTAAGATAAGTAGACTATAAAGCAGGGAGTTGTTCAATTTGGCAAGTCAAATCAAGTACTATTAATGTTTGGTGTCAGTTATTTTGATTCTAACCAACTGGTCTTCCATGGTCATCCAGAGTAAAAGCAAGGAACATCCTTTGCTCAGTTTGAGCATTTCTGAGGGCAACTTCCTAGAACTGGAATCACAGGGTCTGCACATTTCACAATTTGACTCCCAACTTATAGATAACCAACTCTTCCTCCAAAAAGACTGTGACAGCTTACAGTTCTAACAGCACCTCATTTTAGTGTGCCCATATCTGCACACACCCCCAAATCACCATCGCTGCCAGAATGATTGTTCTTCATCCCTCCATCAGCAGTTGGGCAAATCCTGCTCTTTACTGCCACGCCTCCCTCCCCCCGGACACACCGTTTATGGGCTTCCGTGTCAGCACTTAATGGAAACCACCAATGTGTTTGTTCAATCATCTCCCCAAACAGAGGAGACCTCAAAAGCAGTTCAAACTGTAGTTCAAATCATACTGTATCAAACAAAACGAAGGTAAAAACGTGAAAACAGAAATTAAATACTTAAAATTAAAAAAAAATCATACTGTATCAACCTCAGTTATGAACTGTGGCCCAAGTCTTTAAGCAAATTGCTCCAGTCCAGTGAGAAAAAAATGGCAGTTATATATTCTGAAATACACTGATCAGCTGTAATCCGATGTCATCACTATCTTCATTTAGACTGACATGTTTTATGCTTTCTGGAGAGGGAGACAATTGTATACGAGTTCTTTCAGAATTATACTTTATCTTCAGCCTGTCCTGTGACAAGGTAAGAGTGCGTTGTGATTCCACTGGTATTTCACATTTTAAAAAAATTCATGGATATATTTTTAACAAGAAAGAAGGCAAGGTAGCTAAAGTGAGGTTTAGTGCATGCACGTCAACATATTACTCATTCAAGAGATATTCAGTACCTATAAAACAGTAGTAAGCAGCAGGAACTAGAGAAGTAAGCAAGAAAGACACAGCCCTGGCCTCACGGGGCTTGTGTTGGCATTCCCCAACACCAACTTCAAGTTCTATGACTTGTGAGGTAGACTTATAGGACTCAGTACATAGTAACACTCACAGCTAAGACTACAATTAAAAAGCAAAATCAGCAGAGGAAGAAGGGACATGGGGTAGTCCCGTGTAACCAGATGTGCCGCCATAATAAATCTTAGCCATGAGTAAAACTACACACTGAGTCCCTTGAGCCCTGGCAAACCTCCAAACAAGGGAGTAATCTTGGGGACCCCTGAACCACGAGGTGAAGTAACTTGGCCAAGGTCACACAGCTAGTAAGAGACAGAGCTAGAACTTGAACACAGAGCCCGGTTACAGAGACACTATATATTAACAGCTGTCCTGTCAAAGCCAAGATGTGTGTTACCACCAGAAAAATGAGAAGATATAAAGCGGATAATATTAATACACTTATAGCAAACTTATGATAAGGTAGGTACTAGGCTAAGCATTTTTATATGACTTATTTAATCCTCACAGAACTAAAAGAAAGTAAGAACTTTTTAGAGTGTTGGAAATGCTCTATGATCTGCTCTTATCTGTCATCAGTAGCTACTCACATGGTAGTGACTACTGCTATCCCTGTTGCACAGAGATGAAAGGGGGTCTCCGGAAAGTAAATATTGTTTGTGGAAGAACGTACATCTAATAAACAGAGAGTCGGGACTGAACTTGGGCAGCCCGACTAGCCATGCCGTAACCACTCTGCCACCCTGCCTTCCAAATGTGATGAGAAAGACCAGAGACCAGAAATATTTCCATTCCAGAGAAGGCGCGTCACCAGCAGCACACGTCCCAGCAGAATCCGAGATCCATCCCAAGACTAGAGGCAGCATGAGGGGGGCGAAAGGCTGGGCCAGAGGCAGTCAGTAGGCAATTAACTAAACAAACGTGGACCAGCTACTAACTCCCAAATCTTTGTATCCAGCTCTGCCGCCTACACTGAGTCCTGCCTATCCAGCTCCCACTTGGCCATCGAAAAGGCATCGCGAATCCAAAAAAGCCCAGTTAGAACTAAGTCTTTCCTCCCAAACTGTTCTCTCCTAGTCTCCTCTGTGTGAGTAAACAGTACCGTCTACCTTAAAATCATCTTTGATTCTTCCCTTGTCCTCATTTCTCACATCTAATTCATAAAGTCTGTCGACTGCTACTCTAAAATATACATCAAATCTAGCCACCCCTCCCTACCTCTGCTTCCGTCTCTCTAGTCTGCCTCTTTGTCTTTTGCCTGGATGATTGCAGATACAGTAAAACCTTGGATTGTGAGTAACGTGGTTTGAGAGTGTTCTGCAAGACGAGCAAACAGTTGTAATACATTTTAATGTGGTAAGCAAGCGATGTCTTACAATATGAGTAGTCTGTTTCCGGAACAAATTATGCTCGCAAACCAAAGCATTACTGTACTTTCAGCTCACCCTGACTGTATCCCTTAAAATACTTGAGAGCAATTATCTTGCTTTTAACTTATTCACTTCCTATCTCCCCCTTCTAGGATGTCAGCTCCATAAGGGCAGGCATGTTGTCTGTTTTCTTCTCTGCTTATCACCAGTACTTAGAATAATGTTTGGCCCATAGCTCGTGTTCAGCAAATATTTGCTGAATGAATAAATGAAAGAAAATGTGAACAGACCCATGACCACACAAATAACTGAAAAAAGTTGTTCAAAATCTACCATGAAAAAGGGCACCTGGTTTGGAGAACATTACGAGTAAGTTTCAGCCAAGCTTTAACTCTAACATTATTCAGTTATTCTTCAGAATTTTACATTTCAAAAGTGCGTGTTCAGTATAAATAGTAAAACACTGCAGAGATGTACAAGCGACTCAGTGGACCAGAGAACAGTTGATCATATGAAAGATGAATCAACTGGTATCTCTTTCTCTCTCTCTTAATATATATAATATACGTACATATTTTAGATACATACATACATACATACATATATGAATACATAAATATATACATAAGGATGGTACTTAAATTGACTTGCAAATAAATGATTAATAAATGGCATTGTCATAATTGGCTATCCATCTTGAAGAAAATGAAGTCAAATGTCATCCTTATGCCATTTACAAAAAGAAATTAGTCATATGAGAGATTTAAAAATTTTAATGTAAATATTAAGAAAAGCATTTAGGTGTCTTTTGACGAAGCTCAGGATGGTTAAAGGTGTTTTGAAACTAGCTATTTTGTGGATAAATGCAATGAGGCAAGGAATATATTCATCTACATAATACATTTTCTCTTTTTCCTTTTACCAAGGGAGGGAGATATGTTTACTCTGACGCCTACAGTGGTATTTCTAGAGAGAAAAGAAAACTCAACCTACCTGAAACTTGGTCTTGTCCCCGCTGTGTTGGAAAAGGGCTGAGGCTTGAGAATGCACAGCTGTAGGAAGAGAAAGAAGCCGTGAGAAAGGAGGTGCCTGCCTATGCTCTCAGATATCTGCCTGAGCCTCAGCGCTGTCCGCCCCTTTATACACTGGTTTCTTTTTTCTTTTTCTTTTTTTTAGCTGAGCCATCCTGCCACCTGTTGGCAGCTCAGCTAGGGCTGGGAATCGAACCGGCAACCCTGTTGCTCAGAGCTCGCAATCTTGAGCGAGCTCTTAACCAACTGAGCCTCTGGGCCAGCTCGACTGGTTTCTTTTGACCTGACACAATTCCTCATCCACCTGTTTCTCTCTCCACACCCAACTTCAATACCCTCCCATCCCACACCCTTCATTAACTCACTTCTCTCCCCATGCCTTGAGGTCAAGGTCTCCGTGGTCTCCTCTCCCATGTTTTTTGAGAGCATCAGCAATGTTATTTCTTCTCCCATCTTCCTAAGCTGGAGAAGCAGAAGATCTAGGCCTTCTTCATTCTTGAGACTTTCCAAGATCTTACAAGGAGTGTCAGATGGACACCTGAGGTCACAAGGACCTGCCTCCACCTTCACTGTCCAGGGCCTGACTGCTTCCCATACTCCTGGGACCTGTGGGCTCAAAGAAAACTTGATTTTATCTGAGTCCTTTCTTCTGGGCCCCGAAGCTCTGGGTGTCCAGTACAGTTCACACCCTCTGGATACATTCCAGTGGATACCACACATTACTGAGTAGCTAAAGGCAATGTCCCTGCTCTGAAGGGGCTCACAGGAGTCAGGAAAAGGGTGCATGGCTGAGGTCAGAGAAACGTCTGCAGGGAGGGCCCAACAGCAGAAGTCTTGCAGTGAGACCCAAGGCTCTACAGAAGGGTGCAGAGACCCCACAAACATGGGACATGCGCCCTGTGAAAAAATATCTGGAGAGTGAAGGCTTAATAATGCAATACTGTGGGGGCTGCAAATATAAAACCCAAAAAACCCATATCCCTGTCCTTAAGGATTCTAAGAATCACGATACAGGTCAGTATACATCTTCTAAATCAGTTTACAAACTTCTTTGTTTCATGGCCTCCTTTGGCAGCCTGGTGATACTTATGGATTCCTACTCAGAATAATGTTTTAAATGTATAAAATATAACACACAGGATTATTTTAAAAGCTAACTACACTGGGCCGGCCGAGTGGCGTGTTGGTTAAGAACTGGCTTGGGACGCCAGAGGGCCCCGGTTCAGATCCCACATATGAGGGCCAGTGGGACCGTATGTAGCCAGCAGCCAGCGTGAGCGGCCAGCAGCCGCAGTGAGCGGCCGTCCAGAAGCCGGCGACTGATCTGCCTCACCCGGGAAGAGCGCAACGATGATGCCAACTTGGGCCAGTGAAGCAACGTCCTCCACAACTAGACTGAAGAGCAAAACGACAGCAACTTGTCTGTTCCCCTTATCCCAATTCCCCAGCACTGTTCCCATCCCCCCAATTCCCCAATAAAAATCTTTAAAAAAAGAAAAAAAGAAAAAAAAAGAAATCATCATTCCGCGACTGCCTGAACTGGAGTATCCAAAACCGATACTTGCCCGTCTCAAAGCATGAGCTGCCGGCCTGGAACTGTCCCTTCCAAACCCGGGAGTGCCAAGGGCTGCCGGCCTGAGCCCCGCTCCCCCATCCCAAAACGGGATGCTCGGTGATCCGCCTCCTCAAACTCTTCCATCGCAAGGCCAAGCTGTCGAAATCCCCTAATCCAACCCTCCACCACACGCTGCCCCTTTCCCCCCAGGTCCTAGACAGCAAGCCCCAGTTTCTGCGAGGACTTCCAAGAAGACCCACGTCCCTTTTCCCACTCACCAATGCCTAAGAAACGATAGGAGACGCGCGCTGGCCGGAAGCGGAAGTGGGCGACTTGGCAGGACCTGGACTACACTCCCCAGAGCCCACTGCGGTGATGTGCGGTCTTATTTAGGGTCCAGATGGTGACAGACGTAGGCGTCCAGCTCACCGCCAGTCGCCGGGGGAAGGAGGGTAACAGAGGATGTTCCCAGGCAGGTGGTGAGGGGCACACGGTCTTCTGGAACTCAGTTTTGGGGCCCCGCGACTCCTTTTGTTTCTTTCTTTAATAAAAAGTTATTATTCAATACTAACATGTTTGCGTTGTGGAAAATCTGACAATTCTCATACAAACAAATCCATAATCATCAGGGGATATAAAGCATTGTTGATGTTTTGGTGTAAATTACTGTATACTACTTTTTTTAATTCCCAAAGTAGCGCTTGATCAATGTTAAGAAAAAAGTATGAAGAAAAAAGTGTTAAAAGTGAAAAAGAATAAAGGAACGAAATTAATGTCCAGTATAATCCTAGCGCCCAGAAACAAGCATCATTAGTGATAGGCAGGCCGGTAAAGGAATGTGCACAGTCAGGCAAGTTAAGAAAGTTTGAGAAACTCTATTTTAGGGCCAGCCGAGTGGCCCGTTGGTTAAGAGTTGGCTTGGGACACCAGCTCTGAGTAACAGGGCCCCGGTTTGGATCTCACATGTGGGCCAGTGACGCTGCGCCCTTTATAGCTAAGATGCTGAACAACAGCTCAACCTGGAGCTGGGCTGCAGTGAGTCGCTGGTGTCGGCGTAGGCTGCAGCCCCTGCTGCAGTGGGCTGCCATGAGCTACCTTGAGTGGCTGGCAGCCAGCATGAGTGGCTGGGAGCCAATGTGAGCTGCCGTGAGCCTCCATGAGTGGCCGTCCAATGGCTGGCGAGCTACTGCCTCACCCAGGAAGAGCACAATGATAATACCAACATGGGCCAGTGAAGCAAGCCCTCCACAACTAGACTGAAGAATAAAAAGGACAGCAACTTGTCTGTTCCCCATTCCCAATTCCCCAATAAAATCTTTAAAAAAATAGTCTATTTTATTAAGAGAAAGCCTATCGGGCTGCAGCCCCAGCTGCACGTCTAAAGGAGACCTGCAGCCCCGAGGGAGTGAGTGAGGAGGGTTATATAGGGGCAGTGCTGACAGGATAGCATTGTTTGAACAGAAAATACTGACTGCCTATTAGCCAGTAGCTGTTTTGTGGTGTTTTCTGTTATTGCAAGTTTGGTTCTGTCTGCAGGTGCAGGCCAACAGACATTTTGTTGTTTTCTTTCAGATGTGTCTCTGTCTGTAAGTCAAGGTCTCTGAGACCTAACATTCAGATACCTAACATTAAGTCGAGGTCTCTAACATTCAGAGACCTAACAATTAGTATCTTGGCCTCTGTGTTTCCTGATGCCCTATGTGAGCAAATATAGTATATTTAAAACTTTTTTCTTCCCACAAAATTGTCATCATAACATTTGGAACTTGTTTTTTCTTTCACTTCATATATCATGAGTAGCTTTCCATGACACTAAATAATGAAATCATTTTAAGTGGTTGCTTAGGATCCTATAGTTTTAGATACCTTACCACCCAATGAAGTTATATTTCCAATCTCAATGTATTAAATTTAACTTAATTTTTCCCAATTTGATGGGCCAAACATGCTGTCTCATTACCACATCAGACAACACTGAGGGGAATAGGCCATAAAACGAATCATTTCTTATAGACAGCAAAGCAGAAAGATGAAATGAAAGTGGACCTCATTGAACTTGTTAAACCAATGCATCAACCAAACAACAGCAAAAGCCACCCCAAATATGAAGCAAGGTTTTCTGATAACTGTGGGTGAAAGCATTCCCTTTAAAAAATAAATGGACAGTGTTAACCTTGATATAATCTGTAACATCCTTTTAGATTTGTATGTGAAAATCATGTCAGAAGTGGAGAGTATTTTCAGTGATGACAAATGGGATAATTATGTCACGGGGACAAGCATGAATTGTCTAGTGTGAAACCCTGAGTGTGTGCTTTTGTTTCCTCAGATATGGAGCATTGTATGGAGTTGCCCAAGCCATCAGTACACAAATGCTGAGAGATTGCTGCCTCCCCCAAATCATGGCCTTCCTGGCCTTTAAAAACACTTTAGGGATGGTGCTGGCCCAAAATTAATAGTGTTGAGCTACAAACGCAGTCATCCAAGTACACAACTATGACTATTCTCTATGTTATTCCAATATGTTGAAGCTATGAATAGCATTATTAATAATATAATTATTAAATTAAATAATCGGGTTATCAGAATTGGGTTGTCTATATATGAAATATATCAATGAAAAACAGGAAAAATACATCATGACTTTTCCGACAACACAATATTTTATAATATATAATTTTCATAAATTGAGTGATATATAGTATATATATATAATTTATATATCTGTATTCTGGCTATGAGTCTTTTGTCTGATATGTATTTTCAAATATCTTCTTTCATTATGTGTCCTATTGTATCATCTCTTAACAGTGCCTCTTTTTTTTAATTAAAGTTTATTGGGGTGACAATTGTTAGTAAAGTTACATAGGTTTCAGGTGTACAATTCTGTAATACATCATCTATATATCACATTGTGTGTTCACCACCCAGAGTCAGTTCTCCTTCCATCACCATATACTTGATCCCTTTTACCCTCATCTACCACCTCCGTCCCCCCTTACCCTCTGGTAACCACTAAACTATTGTCTGTGTCTATGACTTCTTGTTTCTTCATTTGTCTTTTTCCTTTGTTGTTTTCAGTTTTATATACCACATATCAGTGAAATCATATGGTTCTTGACTTTTCTGTCTGACTTATTTCGCTTAGCATAATAATCTCAAGTTCCATTCATGTTGTTGCAAATAGTGCCTCTTTTTTTTAATTAAAATTTATGGAGAATAAATAGTGCCTTTTGATGAGAAGTTCTTACTTTTAATATAATCCAAGTTATCAATTATTCTTTTATGGTTCGTTGTTTACCATTTCAGAAGTGTTTGGCAGCTATAGGATCATAAAGGTGTTCTGTGCTCTTTTCCTCTAAAAATGTTTCTTTTACCTTTCACTTTGAAATACATCATCTTTCTGCCATTTACTTTTATAAATGGAGGTAGAACTCAGGATAATTTTCCATGAGGACATCCAGTTGTTTCATTTACTGACTGAAACACGATGGGTTCCTCTGTTGCACTGAGGTTTCACCTTCACCATATTCAGGTGAGAATGGATTCTCCGTTCTGTCTCATTGGTCAATTTGTCTCTCTTGGGTTAATATCATAGTGTCTTATTGGTAACTGATTTAAGACAGGTCCTGTTATCTGTTAGTTTAAGTCTTCCACCTTTGTTCCTTTTTTTCAACATTTCTTTAACTAATGTTGATGGCCGTTTTCTTTTCCATGTTATTTTTGGGATCAGCTTGTCCATTCCCACCAAATCTCTATTAGGATATTCAAATGCTTTGGACCTCTAGATTAATTTGTCAAGAATTGATATCTTGACAATATTGATTCTTTGGTTTCATGAACATGGTATTTATTCTGGTCGTCTTCAAATTTGTTTTTTTTTTTTTTTTTTAGTTTTCAATGTAGAGGTATTGTACAATGTTCATTAGATTTAGTCTAAGGTATCTGAGGTTTTTATACTATTATAATTTTTTTAAAGATTTTATTGGGGAATTGGGGGAGGGGAACAGCGCTGGGAAATTGGGGAAGGAAAACAGACAAGTTGCTGTCCTTTTGTTCTTCAGTCTAGTGGGGGATGTCACTTCACTGGCCCATGTTGGTATTGTGATCATTGTGCTCTTCCCGGGTGAGGTAGTCAGTTGCCAGCCATTGGACGGCCACTCATGGTAGCTCATGACAGCTCATGGCATCCCACTGCAGCCCAACTGCAGCCTACATCGGTCGCCTGCGCCGGCAACTCAGGACAGCCCAGCTCCAGGTTGAGCTGTTGTTCAGCTTCTTAGCTGTAGAGGGTGCAGCGTCACTTCCCCATGTGGAATCCGAACCGGCGGCCCTGCTGCTCAGAGCTCACACTCCCAAGCCAACTCTTAACCAATGAGTCACTTGGCCGGCTCTGTAATTGTTTTTAAAAATCTATTTCTATTTATTTATTGCTGTTACATAGAATATGATTAATTTTGTGATATTATCACTTGCTAAATTCACTTCTAAATTCTCATTTTTTGGTAGATTTTACTTTATCTAAGCAAACAACCATGTTGTCTATGAATAATGACAATTTTTTTCCTCCTTCCAATAATCATGCCTTTCATTTTTATTACATATGAATAGTTGCTTCATAGAAAGAAACTGGCTTTTTCTTCACTTTTAATACTTTGGAACAAACTGGAGTCTGGGTCTGTAGGAGGAGCGTTGGGGTCCCTGATGGGCAAAGGGACAGGCACAGGGAGGATGAGCAGGCGTCCCCTGGACATGTTAACCCCACACACTCCATGTACAGGACCAATCAGATTGAGACAAAGAAAAAAGAATTGGGAAAGATGTTTGTCCCATGACTACTGAGGAAAGGACCATCAGAGCTTCCAGAAATCCTCCTTTAAGCACTTGATATGCAAACACAATGGACCATTTAAACCTGATGTTGTGCTGGCCCTGGAGGAGACCACACTCTCAGCAGGTATCTCCAAGCTGTCCCTCACAGAGCTTGTGACAGAGTTCAGTAGGGCCCTGCAAGAGAGGGATTCTCGGAGGTCTCTGGACTCATTCTCTGACTCAGCACAAGATCAGTGGGCATGGACACAGGCAGGAGCACTCACAAAAGGTATGAAATGAAGTAGAGAGCCAGCTTTACTTTTCCCCAAATGGCCAACCTGTGATATCATTTACTGATGAGTCCTCCTCTCATAAACCTTACCTCATTTAAAACACTACCTTCATCACATACCACCTTCTTATATATGGTTGGGTGAATATTTTGAGTTCTTTAGAGCCACTGAACTTTCCATCTGTTGTTCTCCTAATTACAAACTATCATAACTAAGTAAAGTTTTGCAATACAGTTAAATA